TGAGTGTCCATCCAAAAAACGCATTTCTCAATGGTCAACGAAGAGACACCAGGCCCCAGCCACTGGCAGATCATCGCAACAAGCTTTCCTAACACTCCAATGATATTAGCAATAACAGTTATTATAATAATAATAATAAGAACAATAATAATAACAATAATAATAGTAGCGATAATAGCAATAATAATAACAATAATTAATAATAACTAACAGCAACAGTAATAATAATGATAACAATAGTAATAAATAAACAAAAAAGCCCCGACCTGATAATATACTCCATTTTCATCGCAACCATCACAATAAGGGCCTGCCCCTTCGAGACCTTCTCCCCAACCTTCACCAATATTTTCTCTATTACCCCTGGCATCGGTGCACACCCAAATAACTGATTATCAGCTTTTATCTCAGATTCATACAAATCTGATTTCGGTACTCTGTACTCATGATGATTCGTGCCAAATACCTAAAAATAATCTTTTTAAAAAATAGTAACAATGATCACTATATATATATGCCACCGCTGAATGAACTTTAAAAAACCTAACAGCCAGTGAAAACAAGTAAAATAATGGTAAATAATAACAATAGGAATAAAAAATAAAAATAATTAATGCACAAAAATAAAATCCCAACCACAATTTTATCATCACATAAAACTGCCTTCCTCTCGATTCGTTCACCATCGCAATGAATTGTAAACCAGATAACATCGTTATCTCTCTTCACTTCACCAATAATCATATTTATTTTACTGCTATCTATATTATTACTATTGTAAATATTAACACTTTTATTACTTATTTCCAGTTCATACTTTTCCCCGTCCAATTCGACGGTTTCTTTTGCAGTCATATTCAACCTTCAATATTCACTTGTTGTTACTATTATATATCGTTATTATCATCAGTAATGATGAAAAAGCGGTAACAAATAACAACATTATACAATAATAATAACAATGGTAATAATAACACTAATTGAAATAATAAAAACGGTAATCCTGTAGTATAGGTCAAGTGCGAAAGGGATATGGCTTATCAAATCCACAACACGCGTCCATGGAAGAGGTGTCTTGCAATTTGGACTTAAGCCTAACAATAAGCCTAAGCCGCATTTTATGCCACACCCCTTTTCTCGTTGACCTAAAGTGCAAAAACAGTATTAATAACAATAAATAAATAATGATCAAAGGAATAGCAACAACCTGAAGTAATCATTGAATAAATACGGATTACTATTACTCGATATCATGTTATTCTGTTGAAATAATAAACTCGCTATTACACCTTCATATTTCTCCATTTTTGACCTTCCTTCGTCACCAAATAAATCTTTCTCATGATCTGCTATGAATTCCGTATACACATTACCCTAGATAATTAATTTAAAATATTATTAACAGCTATTATATATCCATAATATTATTATACAATAACAACAAAAACAAAATTAATAATGATAATAAATAAAAGCAAACCCTGATAAATTCAGGATGATTCAGTACATTACGCACAAAAGATACATTCGTTGCGAGACCGGCGATATGCGTCTGTTGCAGTGCCCTTGACAGCTTTGATATGGCCTTTTCACGGTCTTCCGACCATACAATTACCTTGATTTTTACTTATTTAGTCTCACAACAACAATGATAACAAACACAATAATAACAGTGAGAGTAGTTAAGAAGTAAGAAAAACTGAAAGGCAAACCTTCGCTATCATCGGATCGTAATGCACAGATACTTCGTCACCCTCCACGACGCCTGTGTCAATTCGAGCAATGTTAGGGAACGATAAATGTTTCAAATGACCTGGAATTAAAGATGCTTCATGATTCGTTTCATGCGCTCTATCACCAATGAGCATAAAATCACGCTTGCCGACACCATGCAAACAAGCCGCGCCCATGGTGCCAATCTGCGAACTCCGTCACAGCGTGAATTGATTATGTTCAGATCCTCGCCTAGACCTAAACTTCAGCGCGACCATAAGCCTGAGTTCTAACTTGAGCCTGATTTGGTCGGATGACCTGATTCCTACAAACTGCTACGCGGGGTAAGGTCGCCGAACTGGACGTGGCTTGATCGTAGATCATTCTAGGACCGCATTATCATTCTGGTCCAATACCAACACTTCAAACTCTGCCTATACTAGCGTTGGGGACCGAAAGAATTTTTTGTGGTGGTGCCTGACCGAATGCACTGTCTGGGGCCATACCGATAGGCAATTTTGGTTTCCAACTTTTGGCAAAATTGAACATCGGTTGGTTTCCAATCGGTGATAATCGAAGTTCGGTGTCCCGAGACCAAAGATCGAACAGTACCTTTCGGTTGCGGTCGGGTACTACCGATTTTCAGGGGGGCCGAGTTCTGGCGGTCCTCGGAAATCCATCAGTCCCCGACTATTTTTTGGGGACTCCTGCAACTCGGTTGCCCCCGACCCAACTCTAGTCTACGCGGCGCGCACGCCATGCTCGACGCTGCGCATACCATTATGAGCACGGATCAGCTGTCTAATCGTGCGATCGATCGTCAATGAGCGTAATGATTACGGTGGTTATTGTGATTCACCAATATCATGATAAGCACCATACTCATTTGACAAACAATAATCGCACCTTAAAGACCAATCACAGTAATAATAAACCTGCTATAGGGATAAAGCCAGCCTTGGTGTCTTCAGCATAAACTCTCGCCTCGATTGCATGCCCGTTGAGGGGAATTTCATCTTGTTTCAGAGGGAGCCGTTCGCCCTGTGCTACCCTCAACTGCCATTCTACCAGATCTGTACCCGTTATTGCCTCACTTATTGGATGCTCTACCTGCAATATAAAATGATGATAATTTGATAGTAACGATAATAAATAACTTCACGTAACTACAAAAGGATTTGTTTGTTTTGCTCCCTTTTCTACAGTGATGGAGATGGGGCACTTATGTGATGCGCGCACGGGATTAGTGTTCTGTTATTAGACGTCAGCTGAATAAGTTGGCCGGCCGGGTCCACGACAACGTGCCACTGCGCGTGCCAGGTTATTGAGTGGCACGGTGCTTTTGTCGGAATCAGACTTGTCACAGACGCATTTGTCTGTGACCTAGTTAACCATCGTGATGCCACATCAGAAACACACAAACAAGCCCCACACACACGTCTGCATTAACGCTGTGGCCGAATAAAGTATTGCAAAACGACTCAACATAAAGCTGAGCGAACCTGCAGTCTTGTGTTCATCTCCATAAAGTAGAAATCTCCACTACGATCCATAATGAACTCCACCGTTCCTGCGCCCACGTAACCCACTGCGCGCGCTGCACGCACTGCGCTTTCGCCGAGACGTCGTCTTGTGCTCATAGTTACACCGGGCGCTGGTGCCTGCAAACACCACTGGTCAAAATAATAGTGATATCAATGACAATTGCAACAATTACAACAACATTTATAACAATAGTAATAATAATAACAATAGATAATAATAATAATAATAATAAACGATAATAATAAAAATTGGCAAGACCTCTTCGATAATTTTCTGATGCCTTCGTTGCACGCTGCAGTCTCGCTCCCATAAATATACATAATCATCATAATGGTCACCAAAGATCTGCAACAAAGAATATAAAAAATAACAATAATAATAAATAATAACAATAACTAGTAATTATAATTAATAATAATAAATACCTGAACTTCCACGTGTCTTGGTCTCTCTATGAATTTTTCAATAATCATTTCGTTATTTCCAAATGCTTTTTGCGCCTCAGATCGCGCCGATTCCAGTTTTTCTCTAAACTCTGCATCATTCCACGCTATTCTCATACCCTTGCCCCCTCCACCATATACCGCTTTCAACATCACCGGATAACCTTTAATATTATTGTTCACCAATATTTATAATGATATATATATATATATATACAGTAAATATTATTATGCATATTAATAAAAACGACAGCAATAGCAATAAAAAGTAATAAACAAAACGCGCAATAATTCACCAATTTTGAGTGCCTCTTTATGAAGAGTGTCATCGTCTTGTTGTTCTGCATGATACCCCTTTATAATCGGTACATTTGCATCACCCATAATCTGTTTCGAAATATTTTTCGCACCCATTTTCTCAATTGCTTTCGCTGGAGGACCGACGAATATCAGGCCTGACCTTTGACAAAGGTCAGCAAATTGCGCGTTCTCACTCAAAAAACCATAGCCTGGATGGATGGCCTTCAACGATGATAACAATAATGATAACAATAATAATAGTAATAATAACATAATTCAATAACAACAACAGTAATAATAATAATAGCAATAATAATAACATCAATAAAAATAATGGCGCCACCCTACCCTAGTGCAATAGGCTTCAAACACCGTGGTAAAAGTCGGTCAAGGCTACTGTAAGCGCCAACTTAATGTCAGCGGGTAGCGCAATCAGCCTCTTTTCCAAAAATACTTCAGTTTGGAGATACTCGAAACTAGTGTTCGTCGGGGAGCAGTTTTTCGCACGGGGGGGGGGATCCCGTGGGGAGTAAATTGGACGGGAGGAGGTCCCCGCAATAAAGTTGGGGAGCAAATTGCGCGGGGGATGACCCCGTCAGGGAACGATCGCTCCCCATGTTCCCCGACGGGGAGGACGAGGAGCATTTCAGCTCAATTTTTTAAGAGAATTTCAATTTTTTAAGGATTTTCCTTCTTTTTTTAAATAGTTTTCTTTCAAGTACACCTCATATTCACATTTCAAAACAAACAACAACACAATATTGGAAGTGTTGCAGCAGTATTTCACCATTTCAGCTGATTGTTCGCGATATTCGCGCTCCCTGTCTTTCCCGTCGGGGAGGAAGGAGAGCTCGTCCTCCCCGTCGGGAAGCGAAACAGGACGGGGGCGGTCCTCGCGGGGAGAAAATTGGACGGGGAAGAGTACCCGCAAAAATGTTGGGGAGCAAATTGCGCAGGGGGGAGCGTTCCCCGTCGGGGACCCCGTTCCCCGACAAACACTACGCGAAACTTCGCCCTGAGAATACTTTATCACTCAAAATCGATTGATAATCCAACAATCCTTTAATCCCATTTTAGATTAAGGGAATTTTTTTCAAAAAATAAAAAATATTGAAAATTCCCACCTGACATTTTGATTTGATTGCCGTGTCTATAATTATTTCCATATTCAAATAAGACTTCAACGACGGTGCTTCTCCAATACGAAATGCATAATTGGCCGTTTTTGTATGCAACGCATTCCGATCTGCATCCGAATAAACAGCCACAGTCTCGATGCCCATTTTATTGGCTGTTTTCATAACTCTGAAAGTTAAATTTCCGCCGAATTGTTATCAACACAAAAATAACAAAAACAACAATAATTAATGATAATGGTGACGATCGTAACAATACTGATAAAATAATCAATACGACTAAGAACCATCAGAATTGAGGACGACTTTTCTGAAAGATAAAAACAAAAATGAACATATGAATAGCAAACCTTACAGCGATTTCGCCTCTATTTGCGACAAGAACTCGATCAATTGTACGAATATTAAAATTACCACCTTCTTTTTTCAATTTATTTTTATTGGGGTTAACGTTATTAATATCAATATTATTAGTGTGTGAGGATGATAAGCTGCGAGTGATGTTCAATAACGATAACTTTCGAGTGTTGACAAATTTTAGTAAAAAACCCATCGTTGATTAACGGTTAGCCTGGAAAATATGCGTGATAGCAATGAACATCAAATTGAAGCAAAGTTATCCAACATAATAGGTACTTATGCTGATGGCGGGTGCCATCACGCCATCACGGATGCTCGTGTGCTCATACACTTCACACATAAGTCGAAGCCTATGCGTTAACCTCATCATTGGTCTAAGCGTAAGTCTAAGCTTAAGCGTACTCTTGATTTGACTTGGAATTGCCAATCTACACATGGGGCCAAGTGGTAAATCTAAGCACATGCGCGCAGTGGCGCCCGTTATCAGCAAAAGTGCCCATGAACAAATATATTAATTACATCTAACTTAAATAGGTGATCCTGCTGTTTGATTCAAGACCTGAACAGCAGGATTACCAATCATTGGATGAAAACAATAATAATTATTATCACTTCACAATTCTTCAACTAACGTCCTGTTCGAGTGACAGGCGTCGTCGCAATTCGCCTTAAAAACACGACTGAGCGCAAGGGCGGAGTCAACAATCAGCATGCGCCATCTCAGGTCGACGTGTGATTGAGCGCTTGAATTATCCGAATGACAATGCTATATGATGATGATACTGATGGTATTAATAGTAATGATAACAATAACAATAGTAATGGTTTTAAGGATAATGCACTGCAAAATGATTAGAGTTGTTGTAATCATATCGTAGGAAATACAGTTCTCTTCCGTAAGTGTTATTTTGTTCGGGAAAATGTTGATTATAAAAAAATTGAGCGATCTCATAAATTTCAGGTTAAAGGAAGTGTCATCGAGCAAAACGGCTATGTACATCTTGTAGGGCTTGAAAAAGCCTATCAAATGAACATCTTTATTTGGAAAAACGATGGCACTTTTNATTATAAAAAAATTGAGCGATCTCATAAATTTCAGGTTAAAGGAAGTGTTATCGAGCAAAACGGCTATGTACATCTTATAGGGCTTGAAAAAGCCTATCAAATTAACATCTTTATTTGGAAAAACGGTGGCACTTTTGAGGGGTTTGTGGGTCTGAATGTGAAGAAGTTGCAGTTGAATGCACTAATTACCAAACTGAAGGTCATCAACGGATTCGGAGCATTCTGGCCCTATCTTTTATGCGTGAAAGATGGTTCGTTTTTCAACAGTGCATGAGTGACGTTCATGATTTCTTGAATTATCCCTCGACCTGAGTGAGGTCCAGGTGGAAGTCCTGCTGAAAAGACTAGCTCGATCCTTTTGCTTCCCTTATTCATCGTTTGTTATCAGCTTACGATGAGTTTTTTCTTTAGGAAATGGATTTCTTTAAAAGAAAATTTTTAAAAAAAATCAGAAATTAGGAAACGAATGGAAAGTGCAACTGATCTATCAATGCATACCATTATGAATAAAAATTACTGCTTAATGATGTGACATGTAATTTGAATAATGCGTGCAAATTTGCTGGTGTTGACTGCATTGAGTCGTGCGTCATTGTCAACGATGGTAAGTTCGTCGAGCGCTTGTGGTGATATTGAAAGCGATAAGCCGAAGAGGTGTATGGTGCTTGATAGTTATGCTCGTTTATTGCGGTCCCTCACAATATGCAGTGCACAAGAGTAGATTCTGGTTTATCAGAACGTTGGTGGGATCCAGATTCGTTTAGTTTCAAATTATCAACAGCTTTAATTCATAAACCGGAAACACGAGATTATTTCGATTATCTCGAATTCTCACCATGCTCTGATATTGATTTAGACCGTTCGAGGCCGCATAAACATGTTTTGGAGCAACAAGTTTTCTTGCTAATTATAGGCCAGGTTTGAAATGAGGTTTGATTTGATGCCTTTGAAGCGGTGTCATCTTTGTAAGAGAAGTTATCATTCAAAACCTCAAATAATCCGTAATCAGTACCATCCAACCTCCAAGATGCTCGGTTCAAAAAAGTCAAAAATTACAGAGAGATTGCACCAACATGCGTATTGCAGTTGGTTGTCTCGTTTCATTTCATAACCCACTCGGTTGGTATTCTACCATCTTCTTTCATCACGCTACTAATAATTGAAGCAGTCACAGACAGCATTCATTGGACTATGTGCTCTTGCTCACCGCAGTTTTCGTATGAACACATTCAATTATTAATTCGTTCTTTTCATATCCGATAGTATTTTTCTCCTCATATATCATTAGAACATATCACAAATGCAACAGTAACTTAAAATAGCAAAAGTATTATCAGTAATGAATCAGTGTTATACTACATTGTACACGTGACATCTTTCCATTAGCTTAGTGATGTTTCATGAAACCTAACAGATCACTCTTCGCTTTTGAACAAACTTTTTGTGAATGTTTTTTTGTGTAACTTCAAATTTTTCAAAAATTAATGACTGCATAATTCAGGATTGAAATTCGTTTACATTCTATTGAACCTGTCAATAGCGATCGCTGCATTGGTTTGTGCACGTTACTTTTTCGTTTCACGAGGCGGTGACCAAATTCACAAGGCTTTCATTTTAGTATTACTTTTCATTTTGCAGGTACAGTCCGTTCCTCGGTTGTTTGATACAGATTTGTTTTAATCGAAGGCATCACTGTTTCGGCAAAACGATGGAGAACTGAGATTAAGTATTTCTAATTATAAGCCGAACTCATATTCCTTGATATACGAGTATCGTTGGTCTTACGAAAAATCCGAACGATTTCCCCTTGTGAAGTGCAATTCAGTGATTTCGAAACGATTGTGAATCTTTTGTAAAGTTTTATTCAAATGCAGTTGTCGATGGCGTGCGTCTCGATGTTGTTCGGTGATCGTCCATTACCGAGATGTTGTCGAAGCAACCGTACTCTTACAGCACTCAGTTCACTGCCGAACGAGTCACATGTTCAGCTGTCCAAATGTAAATCTTTGCAATAATTTGTTGCCGCCATCATTTACAAACGAATCCAATTCGTCGTAAGCTATACTCTTTGCTGGTTCATGATTTGTAACGAATTTATTCACTACTATCGATACTTATTCAACACGTTTTAACCCATACGATAAGATTTTACAGCCGATATGATTACAACATTATCTTACGAATGAGTGTAGTTTATCGACCAGATAAAATTCCTTAATGATCGCAGAAATAGCTATTCGGAAACGTTCTTTGTTCGTTAAGAAGAAGCATACATATAAATCGACCATTATCAGTTCCACATCCGTACTACATTCCTTATATACATCACAATGAATCATCCTGCGTCTGCGTCTTCAAAAGCTCTGTTCTCTGATAGACATACCTGATGATCGTTAAAATGTTGAATATAATCTGATGTAAATGCAATTCTTCTGCTAAGGTGAAGACTCTAAAAATAGCGAAATGTTGAAAAACGAAATAAAACAAGAAAGCTCTGCATCAAAAGATAACGAGATGAAAAAGCAAGAATGCGGTGATAAAAGCGACCGTTCAATGAATGAAGTATCGTTAACCAATGAAAGCTCAAAGGAAGTTGGTTCAAATGAATCTGTTCTGGATTATAAGATGCCTTCACATCAAAAAAGTCAATCTGCTATGCTTCCAACCGCCAGCAGTATAAGTAGCACTAAGAAAAATCGTTCAACATCCTCTCTCTCCAATGCATATTCGGATGCTTGTTCAGCTGCTTTATCGGTAAGATATATTGCACCTCAATATTCCTACATTCGCAACAAAAGTTGTTTTACTGTTAGTCATCGTACTTTCATTACATGATTGCACCTGATTGCATCACTGTTGTGGGGGTTGCACTGTTGGCTTCTGAATGTCTCTCAAATAGTAAATGCAAAGTTATTTCAAAGAATCACGAATTCTACATTCATATTTACTGAAATGCAACAGCGTTTGTCACGGATGATGAGCTGACATAATGCAGAAAAGCGGTTCTCGATCAGTTTCGAACAGCACAACGACTTTCAATGCAGAGGAACCACAAATTTGACGTCAGAATGAAAGACAAAACCAAAATGACGAAGCCCGACTCCGAGCTGGAGAAGAATGAATGCAGGTATGATAACGTTCTACAAAATTGTATTCGTCAACGTATGGATTGCTTTAACAGTCCCATCTTCACGCTTATTATGTTCACTTAGGCTGATCGTTCAATGCTCCCAAAATTTAATTTGAAGAAACTATTTGCAGGAGAGCAAATAACAGATGATTAGGGCAATAACAATCAATATCACAAAATTCGCCGCAGTTTAAATTCACATTTTAAGGTTATTCGCATATAAGTGTCATTTTTGTGCTATTGACAAATAGCTCAATCTGATATTTTAATACAGACATCAAAGTTAGCACCTTCCACGGGATAAGAACGGAACAAAATTTCTCTTTATTTCCACTGATTTTCCCCCTGTGAGGAATAACCGGTTGTGGCAACANTTCACATTTTAAGGTTATTCGCATATAAGTGTCATTTTTGTGCTATTGACAAATAGCTCAATCTGATATTTTAATGCAGATATCAAAGTTGGTACCTTCCACGAGATAAGAACGGGACAAAATTTCTCTTTATTTCCACTGATTTTCCCCCTGTGAGGAATAACCGGTTGTGGCAACAGAAATCTTTAAGGTTTCTTTACGATGCGGTTGTTTGCTTCTCTAACAAATTCTTCTCGGCACAATTGGTGCAATTCAGCTTTTTTGTGTGTA